ATGTATAATGAACATTTATGGCAGATAAACCAGACTCAGTGCAGGCATTTATAGATGTGAAGTCAAACACAAAGGGGCTGTAGCTTATCAGGTTTCATGAATGAGAGGTGGAGGAAAGACGGATGCATGAAGGATACCTACTGCTTCTTAAAGGATAATGCTGGTGTTTTCCTATATTTTAGTTAATGTAGCCCATGAAATACCAAATCAATGTGTCGATACTTTTCCTTACCCCATATCTGTGGCTCTCAGCTTTAAGCCCACTGGTTCTTAATGAAGACATACATCTTTAAAAATAGCCCTCGTAAATACAGTTTCATGTCTTAAAATGGCAAACAAACAAAAATAAATAGTGCATTTGTTGGGGACTTTTTCAGTGGTGGATGATTCCATATTTAGTGCATGTGAGACAAAATAAACTACAGTGTGTGTGTTAATGGTGATAAAGGATAGAGACGCAGACTATACTCGTTAGAAGAATTAATTTATTGTTGGTTTTTCGACTTTTACTGGATTAACAAAAATGGATAATATTTAAAAATCAGCCGGCCATCCTCCACAACTGCCTGATCTAGAATCTAACACTGCGTCACTCACAAACAGCAGTTTCACTTGCTATTTTCACCAAATGAGGTAAGGGCCACCGTGACGTTATCTATGTTGTAATCACCGCACAGCACCGCAAAAGCTGGAGTCACTTCTATTTCCAGTGAGACTGACACGTCTGTGTTTTTTCACCAACAGCTGTTAAGAGGTGTTAAAGGTAGTCATTAATAGTTGATCTCCCCCGCAGCTGTCTGTTGCTAGCTGACTTTAAAAAAAGTTCCTATACAGGTGTAGAACTGGTACTAAATTTTATGGTTTGTTTACTGAACAAACATCCTAACGTTAACATTTTAGGTTATCATACTCAGATGTAGGGATGTCAAGAGAACCGATACCAAAATTCTGAAAACATGTCGGTACTTGTTTTGTTTGGTACCAAAGGTACCGGGGACATGTGGAAGACAGAGACAAGCGCAGCTGCAGCGACCGCTCTGCCTCGACTCAAGACGGAAAGAGTTGTGTATTAGTTTTGCTGTTGTTACCTTCAATAGCTCCGTGTCAAAGCCTCGATTTCTCACAGTTTTGGGATATGTTGGAGAGCTAATTTAGGCAGATGTTTCACAGTTTTGATCACCTGAAAATCACAAAAAGATGAAGATGCAGTTTGCAGTGCTAAGAACTAAATGTCTGTCCAAAGCACCTTACTACAGGTGGCGTTAAGGGCCATCTCAAAAGTGCACTATGGCCCAATTTCAATTAAATTTTTCAACATAAAAACCTCTAACCACTGCCAAATACAGATAGTGATCAACCTTAAACATTTCACATCTGTGAGAGTTTTTCAATAAAAGCTAGGAAAATTAAGTAATTCATTTATTAATTAAAGACACACAAAGACATCAAATCTCCTCTCATTTGTCCTGGACGTCTTCTCACAACTTTCACAGCGGTTAGTTGCTTTTTCAATGGTTAACTTTTATTTATTTATTGTTTTTTGTTGTTGTTGTTTTACCGTGGCGAATCGTGGAATTTCACTGGTATCAATATCGACTACTACATTTTTGTTGTTGTGACATCCCTGTTCAGTCTATAGTACTTGTATAGTATTGTTCTCAGTGACCGTATAATCTCTTGCCAGTCTCTGTCTCACTGTATGATTATGAGTAGTGATGAATGGATGGTGCAGCATGAGGCTGGGATTAGTTCAGTGACAACAGTAGATGAAAGTTGAGAGGGAAAGTGCTTTGTAGGTAGTGAGCTGATACAGTGTAGAGATGATTCCCTCTGTGATTCTCCATCATATCCTCCTCTCTTTATTTTCTGTCTGGGACTCACCAAGCCCAATGTGCTGAACTTTGTCCATACGAATATGTTGCCTTGCCTGTTTGCAGAGCAGCTTTAAAGGTTCAATCTGCTCACTCTTCTGCACAGTAACCCTTGTTTTCTTTTTCTGCTTTTTGGTATTGAAAGTGTGCTCCACATTTTCATTTCCTCACTACGGCTGTCCCAGAAATTCACCCCCTTACATAAATATGGTCTAAAATGAATTTTTTTGCTTGTGACTGTTGTTGTTTTAAAGGAGTTATTCCCCCAAGTTTACTCTGCATATTTTGATTGTAGGTGTTTATATGCACCATGCGCCTGGAACAAACTCCGCTGCAACTCTCAAGGCTGAAGACCTTTCTGTTAGCTGCTGCCTTTTTATTAAATCAGATTTAAGGCTTTTTGATTAATATCTTGCACAGCTCTGTACCTGTTTACTCTCCTGCTTCAGCTTATTTTTCTTTTTTAATTTAACCCTTTCTAATTGTATTTATGTTGTTTTATTGCCTTTAATGTTTTATGCAAAGCACTTTGCCTTGTCTCATCTATGCTTGAGGCTCGCTTACTGGAAGGTACCTCTTACCTCGGTTGCATCTAAAAGGGAATACCGTTTTTATAGACTGATCTGATACGAAAACATCGATCTCCTTCGGCTCTTTCAGTGTTTCCAAGTTTATTAAATTTATTTTTTATTTATTATAGAAGATGATTATTCAGATGTGTCTCTCTTCTATTTCTGCATTAAATCTGACTACATTGAATGCTGAAAGTGATACAGAAATGGTGCGAGATCAGACCTAGTAACATTACCGTCGTGACTTTTACTTACAAGTAACCAGGGTGCTTATTCAGACATGAGACTGGAATAGTTGGATTAACGTCAAGAGGTGCAGGTCTGACAGTAACAAAAGGCGGTTTATTTTTAATATGTGCTATGTTTCACTAGAGCTACTGAGTGTTGACTGGAAAAACAGAAGCCAACTGAAATGAAAGCTTTCTGTTTTGCATAAAAACCAGTCTGTCAGACTGACGATCTCGGGCCAACAATTTGATGGAGAGATGTTTTGTTTTAGCTCAACATGTCGCGGAGGTCAGCAGGAACAAAGTTAACAACAACATGCAAAGGCGTTAAACAACAGATGTTTTTAAATGTTACCAGTCATAGGCAGTGTGAAATCTCACCAGGTCTGACTGATCCCCTGAGGGCAGAAGTCTCTGCCATTTGGTTCTCTGTGAGTGTTAAATTTTTTGTCTTCGTATGTGTTGACATGTAGGCCCAGCTCTTTAAATGTTTTGGTGCTGTATCTGTTTCTGTTAAAGGATACCTGAACAGTGAGATCACGGATTAAAAGAGATCCGAGTTAATATTTTCTTTCTCTCATTCCTCAAGTGACTGTGACTTTTTCTCTCTGGCCTCTGATGTAATCTCTCCTCCCCCTCTCGCTCCCAGTCTCACCCCCAAACCCAAACCCCTCCCTGTTCTTGTGCCTCACGTGGAGACACACACACACAAACAATACAAAGTACTGAGCATGAGGTTTGTTGGTGATTACTGTAGTCCTGTTTATTTTTAAGCACCTACCCATACCTGTTTTACATTAAGATAGTAGTATATGACGGTATGTGCATGAGGCCCTCACAGGGAGTTAATTTATCTGTGTACGTTTTGTTCCATGTGGTCTCCTCTTGGAGGGGAGGGGGTTCAGTTCTCAGTCAACACCCAGGACAGGACTCCACGTGGCATTTTTTTCCCCGTTTTGCACTCTTTCGCATGGCCTGACACAAGCTGGTAAACTGTGAAGAATGAACTCTGGTTCGGCATGTGATGTTGTGCCACGTAAAGTAAACTCCTTCCTGATTGTGTTTTTTAAATCTAACCTTTTTATGTCTTGCCCAGTAGGACACTGGGTTAGTGTCACTCTGAACATGCACAGGCATGCCTCTGGTGACCACTCACTATTACTACCATCTGCTGTAGCCTGCTGGTACTACAGAGTACTGTAGTGAACGGTTTATACCGGGGGTTTTCAAACTGTGAGGGACCAAGGTGAGGCAAAGATACTGTGTGAGGTGAGCAGGTGCAGGAGAAGTTAGGAAGTTTGCATACCTATCAACATTGGGATCTGAAAATAAGGGAAATTTTCATGAGTGTGTGTGTGTTTAGTATAATTTTATTTATACTTATAGTTACTATAATCATTATAATTTCATATATAGTTTACCACTAGTATAGTCCTAATTGTCAATAATCATTACCATTTATGCAGAACAATTACACTAGGTTGCATTCTTTACTCATACATATGTATTTTTAGGGGCATATGCGAGTGAAATAGATCAATGCATCATCCATCCTGGTTTCTTCGTCTTCGTCTTTGTCTTCTTCTTTCTTCCTTCGTCTTCTTCTTTCTTCTTTTATTGGCGGGTGCTGTTGACTTCCCGTCACTGACACAGCTGATGTTCTACATACTGTCACTGGCTTTACCGGAGGGTAGTGTAGCAAACGTTTCAAATACGCCCATCTGTTTCTTATTTATTTTTTAGAAAGGTTAAAAATACGGGAGATTTACAGGAAATAATTTTAACGGGAAGACAGCGGGAGAGGACAGTCAAAAATGGGAGGGTACGAGTTAGTTATTATAGTTTGGCCCGCTGTGACACACAAGCTCATGGAGGTGCCAGATTACTTTTCATAACTCAGTCAAATCTGGACACACAGACTTACACTTTCTGAGAATATTATTTGGATGTCCATCGCAGATAGATAACTATAAAACCGGTTAGATGTCACTGACAGAAAAGACGCTTCTTAAAACTCCTGATAGTCATCTCGTTTTAAACTTTCTTCAGTATTAAAGTCATAGTTGTCTGTACATCCATTGGCACACTGCAAACCGGGACTGCTAATTGCTAACTTGGCCTACTTTTAATCATGCTCAACTTGTAGTCTGCAGCTAACTCTGAATCCATGGCAACATCACATTTCCTGTTTACATCCACAAAAACTTAGGCTATGATAATCTACATAATAAAAGTGACACATAGAGGTAAGAGAGTCATGTTGCACTATACTGTATGATATGTGGGAGGAAAAGTGTGCTCTGTGTTTGACCTGCTTTGACCCCCTTCAGATCTCACTGGAGACGGAGCGCCTGGGTCCTCGTCGTGTGGAGGGCCTGAGGAAAGAGGATGAGGAGTGGCAGAAGAAAGCTCACGCCGCCGTCCTTTCCATACAGGACCTGACTGTCAAGTTCTTTGAAACCACGACTCGGGCACAGAAAGGTAAACACACAATGAAGGCATTTCCTCTCTGACATAAAGCAGCGTGGGGCTTTGGTGTGACCTTTTGAACCTTTGTGTTGTATGTTTACTCAATAACAAAGTGCAGTTAAAGCTGGCGTAGGCTTATTACAGTCCTGCGGCAGCCACAGACACCGGATTGTTTTCATTCTTGTGTCAGAACATTTGATTAATTGATAGCTGTCTTGATTTAAAGAGAATTTTAGCAAATATAAACAAAATATACTTCTGAATAATAATTTCCTACCCCAGCTTTAACATGCAGGGACGATTTTAAAACTAACATTACCTTATTAATAATTATATTATTAATTAAATTGATTCTTTATTTTATGTATATTGTCTGCCATGTAGAAGAAAGGAGTTACAAAACTAAATTTCACTCTAAAACTTGTTATATTGTGACAATAAACGTACCTACCTACCCATTATTGTCTTAGATCCTCATCTCCAACCTCTCACACACCAAAGTGACTTCTGTAAATCTCCCCTTCGTCCAAAAGTATTTTAATCCTCCAAACATCTCAGCTATGAACTTGAAAACATGTCAACAGATTTCTGTTTAAGCGTTAAGGCTTTGCTGAATTGAGTCGAAGCACTAATGCAAACTGTCCATTTAATGGCTGCAGCTTAGTGATTCATATGTTATTGTTATTACTTTCTTGATTAGTCAATTAATCATTCAGTATTCCCCAAGGCTGCATCCACACTAATACGTTTTAAAACAAAAATGATCTCTATCCACACCAGCGTTTTAGCTGCGGACCAGAACAGATCTCCGTCAAATGCACCAGAGATGTTTTTGCATGGACTGACAACGAGATAGAACTGTTTTAAAATTAAAAAGTAGTAGTGTGGATGTAGCGCAAGAGTCCAAGACGGCTTCTTTAAATGCCTTGTTTTGTTTGACCAACCGTCCAAAAAGATATTCTATTTAAAATGATTAAAACAGAAAAAAGCAGAGCACTTTATCTTAAAAAAGAACTGAAAATGATCATCAAAATAGTTTAATATCAAATATAAAAATTTAATATCTGTCGATCAACTAATCGATTAATTGACTGATCATTCAGCTCTAGTCCATTTACAACAATCGTTTATGTGTGTTGCAGCTTTGTATGAGCGTATGCGTGCTGACCAGAGGAAGTTTGGGAAGTCAGCATGGGCGGCCGCAGTTGAACGCATGGAGCGGCTTCAGTACGCCTTTTCCAAAGAAACTCTGCAGCTGATGAGGGCCAAGGAAATCTGCCTGGAGCAGAGGAAACATGGCTTGAAGGAGGAGGTAAAGTACACCATGACGCACGACTGAGGCTGTCAATGATGTAGACCGAGGTGTTTAGCTGTGTAAGTGTCTTTTAAAAGCTTGTGACAGTCAGTGAGTTTTTCAGAAATCACAAGAGTGAGAGACATAAAGACTTGGATATAGACAAGTTTAGAAAGAGAAGAGGGGAAAAGCAAGCACAGACATCCTGCAATGGAGTGAATAACATCCTGGTGTACAGCAGTGGAAATGACTCATTGGGAACAACTGTTGGGGTCAAAATACTTTCTTTACATGTGTAAATGTATAGAAGAGTAGAAGAGATAGCATGTGTTGTAGTTCAGCACTTAGATGCTTCGTATTTGTATAGCACCTTTTATGCACCTTATAGCATATTCACCTTCCGATTAACGGGCAACCCGCTCTACCTCCTGAGCCAGGACAGAACCTCGGCTTCAGTTTCAACTTGTCAACTTGTGCACAGTCAGGAAGTGAACCCTTTGGTGTACAGTGGAGTAATGCGATCGGCTGTGGTTCTAGATGCAGAGTCTGCAAGGTGGGGAGGATGCCATGCTGCGTCTGGACCAGCTGGAGGCGCTGTACTACGAGTTGCAGCTGCAGTTGTATGATATTCAGGCGGAGGTGCTGCGCTGTGAAGAGCTGCTGCTCACTGCCCAGCTGCAGAGTCTGCGGAGGCAAATGACAGGTGAGCATCTGTTTTTCGTAAAGGTCAGTCTGACCGACTGTAGACTGACATTATCATATTTTTGCTTATTACAGATACTGTATATCTGTATCAGCGTATATAAGGGCTGATAAGTAACAAAAAATTGCAGTACAGAATGCAGAAAACTAATAAATGTGTACATATTTATACAAACATCAGGGATCCTTATTTAAAAATGTTTGTGTTAATGTTGTTAAGTTGTTAAGTGTTTCATTGACTTCAACAATATTGTAGTGCCACAAAACCTTTAATTTAATAACGATATCTCTGAATATTGAGACTGAACTTTCCAAGCTGTTCTAAAATCACTACAAAGTTTTATAAAAAGACAATAAATGTTTGATCTCAGTCTGATCTTTGTTTATTTTAGTTTATTAATTTTATGTAATTACCAGGTACCTTGTGCAAAAAACATTTGCATCATACAAAGAGGAGAGATGTACTGAACCACATTTAGCTACCAGCTAAAATCAGGCATTTCTTTTTAACTAAAGCTCATTTCTAATAGCTTTGTTCCTCCATGTGATGAGATGAAAGTAACTATGCAACAAAACATTAAAAAGGAAAGAAGATAAAACTTAAAATAGTAACCGCTGCAAGTGTTGAACTTCAGGTAGCTCAATAACAGGTGAATGAACTATTGTCCCCGCGAGCCGACCCCGGATAAGCGGATGAAGATGGATGGATGGATGAACTATTGTTTGGTCACATGTCGCACTACATACAGCTTTATAAACGAAGGACCTGAACAAGCAGCATTTTGATGAATCTGTTCTGATGTGGTACCAGAGCGACAGGATGAGGTCGTGTACTACGATGCCTTTGAAAGCCCTGACGCCATGAAGGGCGACGAAGATCCTGCAACCACGCCGTCCCCCCTCAGAGATGAAGAACTCGGCATCCTACAGCAGAGGACGCGGCAGCTCGAGGCCCGCAGGGGGCGCATCACTGCCAAGAAAGTCTACCTCAAAAACAAGAAGGTAAGCACCGATGATTAAAGAGGCAGTTCGATGTTGTTGAGGTTGCTGGCCCTTTGAAGACACCTCCAGAGAGGATTTAATACCAGCTGTAGGTAAGTTAAAAGGGCAGCTCCTCTAGTGATCAAACTAAGAAGTGCAATAACAGGGCTTATTAGTAGCTGTTGAAGATGACAGCGACATTTAGTGTTTAAACCCGGATATGCAATGTCATTTATTAGAAATACGCAAAAGTCGTATTGTAGTTTAGTCCTAAATATTTACAGCGGGCCGTACTTTGGCCACTCCCATCATTTATATGCTTTTTGTCTTGAACAGGAAATCTGTATTGTCAATCACAACCAGAAGATACAACAGCGACCAGGTAGCCATGCTGACAGTGACTTCCCACGGTCACTGCAGGTAAGACTTAGGGGGCTTTCACACCTGAAAGTCCTCACCAAGGTCCGAACCAGAGTTCATGTTTTCATACATTTTGATACATTCGGTTAGTTTTGGTTGGGGTTCACAGTGCAATTCTACTACCTCTTTTCGTCGGACCAAATTTCATCTGTTTGGTCCAGACACTGGTTTCACTTTCACACCCGTATTTTTGGTTTGGACCAAACTGAAAAGTCACTCACTTTACTTTACGTTTCCATTGTAAGCATCAATTTTACTTAATGCTGCAGGAGTGTGATTTTTTTTTTAATCCTTAAAATATTTATTGAATTCTTCATAGCAGAGTATGTGCGTACAGGGTTGGTCATACATTTCGGATTCTTGGCGTAAACATATTCTGACCTGTCACAGAGGAAAAATAAACTTAGAAAAATAAAATGAGAATCAAGTCTGGAAAAAAAAGTAAATAAATAAATGTGGGGGAAATCCAGACCACAGAAAAAAAGGAAGGAGCTGTGATGTAGTCTCTGATTTCTTAGGCTGAGTTTTCATTAGTCCTTGTGTAGGTCCAAAACAGATCCCAAGAAGGAGTGTGGGTTTTTTTTAAGGATTCCCCTGACAGTCATTCTGTCCAAAGACGAGGCACGAGTTGCTTTCTTTTGGTGCAGCTACATTCACAGCATTGAAGGTGATGTGGGATGAGAGTCTGGTTAAGCTGAAATGTGAGGTTATGGAAACACCTTGTCCAAATGACCAAAAAGACCTTTCAAGTGAAACAGAGCACTGAATTATCTAAGGATAGAGAAATGTCATTATAAAATGATCTCTTTCTGATATTTTATTTTCAGTTAATTTACAGAGAAGGCAGACGCCATCATGTGCCCAGTTAAGAGCTGGTTTGTTAATACTGAACGTTGCGAGATGCAGATCCTAAAGAGAAGCAAGCGTTGGTGTCCTTCATTATAAGACTGCTTTTGTTATGTAAATTGAATCTGTTTGATTTAGTGGAACTGCTTGTTATCATTTGCATAATTATCATCTTGGTTGTTGTTGCTGTCTATCGTCTTGTAAGCTCAGAGAAGACTTAGGTCGCTTTCACACCTGCATTTTGGTTCTTCTGGTGCGGAACCAAAGAAAACAACCAAACAGCAGGTTAGCCTTTAAGTTCTGGTGCGGTGGATTTCACATTTTTACAAACAAACCGAGAGCTGAACCGAGAAAATACATTTTTCTCTCTGATTGATATGGTAAAAATCCCCACATTCACATGCTGATAAGTGATAAATGTATAGATAATTTGGCTTTCATGCCACAAACAAACCACACCAGAGTCGCATTGACTGAGATCAATGCAGACTGAGACCTCCTTTATAAGAGGTCTTGGTGCAGTTGTTTAGTCCACGCTACAGTTCAGATGACAGCATAAATGAAGTTTTACTGGTTTATTCGAACCTGTTTTATTTTGGTGAAAACAACCTCTTCAATCAATCAACTACTTTAAGAGTTAATAACCCGTCTGGATCCTACAAATAATCAAACTTGTTAATGAGATTTACTTTGTTGTTTCCTGTAAAGGGAGGAGACGCTGAGGAAGATGAAGCCAGGAGCAATGCCAGAGTGAGTCAGGAGAGGCAGAGGACTCTGGACAGACTCCGCAGCCTCAGACAGGTGAGGGCCCACTGTCCTGATGTTTAGCTGAACCGGACCTTTGACCTTTGACTGATCCTTGTGTCTGACCTCCTTTTGTTGACTACCCATCCAGCGTTATCCAGGCCAGGTGACTGTGAAGTCCAGCCGGATGCGTCTGAGCCAGTCTCATGTCCGGAGGAGAGCCGGTCAGCAGCCCAACACCCAGGCGGCCGGCGTTCAGACTGACTGCATCTCAGATCTCCCAGAACTCTCTGCTCCTCCTCCGCCGGACGCTTGCGGCTGTGACAGCGTCTCTTTACCTACTGTTGAACTCCAAAGTCTCGACTCTTCACCTCCCTTTCTCTCACTGCCTCCCCTCCCAGCCTCCCCATCTATTCTATCACTGGGTCCTCCCCCTCCCCCTCCTCCCCCACCACCTCCCCCGCCTCCTCCGCCACCATCAGACGACCAGCAGCAGGTTGACGGGAGGGAGAGGAATCCCACAGACAGTCCAGTGCGGCACCACACGTGCGAGTCTGAATCTCCCTCCCTACCCCTGGCTCCATTTTCCCCTCGTTTCTTTGACAGCAGTGAGCTGCTGACAGCGAGGACGAAGCTGAGGAAGACTGCCTCGCTGGACTCGTCGCAGTGGAGGAGAGGTGAGGAGGAAACTCACATTGTTTTGACATTTATCATAACAAACGAAAAGTCTTTAGTTATAATCCTTAAGATCTCAGTCCTGGTGTATTTGGCGAGATGGAAGTTTGATGAACTGTTTATTGTCTGCTACTTGGCAGAAGGACGTGACAAACTTAATTTTCTCTTTACTGTTGTAATGTGACAAATAAACCTACCTTTTACCTTCAAATAGACCAAACACAAGCAAATTAAGAAAACCTCTACATTCATTTGATGCACTGCAAATAGACAAAAGGACAACAGAAGGCGGACACTTAAAAGTGCTGAACATGGACACGCTTGTTGTTGCCACGGTTTGCGACCCATTAAGTTATTGAAGCCTGGTCCGGGTATCGTCCGTTTAAGTTGATGTTGTGTGTCTTTGACTTCGGCTACGGCGCTATCCTACCTAGAGTCTTTACTGTCCTACCATCAGTGTTGACAGATGGCCTGTAGCCTGCGTGATAATCATATTGTTAGAGGAGAAATATCCCGAGGTACAGGCTACCAAAGGCCAAGCATTATCAGGATAAAGAGATAACCTCAGCTTCGATGTTTAAAAAGTTACACATCACATAGGATCACAATTGTTGAAGGGGGAGGAGATTTATTGCTTGTATATTGCCCCGCCACTGATGAAGCTGAGGATGTCCAGAACTTGGTATCACAAATAGAAATGATTCACCAAAAGTTGACAGGCTGTTTTGGAAAGACATCCAGGTTTGGTCAATATCACCAAGTCATGCAGTAGTTTATATTAAGTATTAAACTACTAATGAAGCTGCTTTGACGTCCGTGGCCACAAGATGCCACTGTACGACCTGAGATTAAAAATCGGTGTGGACAACAAACTTCAGTGCTGGCTTTAATTCAGGAAACTTTTCCGACGGTTATTTATGTTCAGAACAGGCTACAGTCCGTCTGTCATCACTGATGAACCTGGTTATTACCTCTGATTAACAGAAATTTCCCAAAACTTGTTTTAATCTGCGAGCTCCTGCAAGGTGCACGCTGCACATCAGACTACGCAAACTGAAGAAACAGTACAAAACAGAACAACAGATAAACAATGAACGGATGATTCGGACCTGACTTTTTCGTGTCCTCTTGAAACATTTCTGTTGTGCGTATTTGTGTTTTCTAAAGTTGAGGTGTGTTTGCCCTTTTTGGCTGTCAAAGCCTTTTTATTTTTATAGCACCTGTCATTCACACAATGCTGCTCAAAAATAATATACAATAAACCAGGGTAGAATAATAATGTAAAATAAGATGAACTGAAATTAAAAATAAAACTTTCAGTAAAGGATACAAACTGATTAAAAAGGTAAATCTTATTATATTTATGGGCATGTTGTTTTAAAGCAGTATAGAAGCAGAGACAAAGTAATAAAGGGGGATTACACCGTTTTCTGTAAAGTCTTAAAAAGCATCAAATTTCCTCCAGAAAAAGGAAATAAAAAAAAGTCTTAAATATGTTTTTGTATGTGATTGCGGGCTGTTGGGAGATGTTTTCCATCTGTAAGCTAAAGAAAACACTGTCACTACTGCAGCTACAGCAAACTCATCATCTCACAGAAAGCTTTGATTTTAGCCAAAAACTTTAATTAATTTATCACTTTTAGTGCTGAACAATTAATTTAACAATTTATCTAAATGTTATTCAAAGAAAATGAAAATAATTATGTAAAAGTGATCATTCCTTCAAAAATCGCAAATCATATCCTAATTTCAATATTAGTCAAAATAATCGCAATTAGATATTTTTTCCAAATTGTTCAGCCCTAATACATTTCCTGTTACTTATTCAGGTCCTAATGAAGTTATTAAATTAATTATTAGTCAATAATTTTTAAATAATGCTTAGAAGTAGTGAAAAACATATAATAATAATAATAATAATTTTAGGTCCGTACTGATTTTCCATCAGACTTTCACACTTTGGTCGGTGTGATTGTTTAACAGGTGTTGAATTGTTTTCTATGTGGTTTTAAAATGAACCCAGAAACTGTACGTGAGGTTAACTGTGGTGTCGCTGTGTGTCTGCAGCGAGCTCCCCCATGGACGAGGTGCTGGCTTCCTTAAAACGGGGCAGTTTCCACCTGAGGAAGGCCGAGCTGCGGGTCCTGGGCCCCGACCCGGACGACGACAGCAACAACATCCTGGCTCAGATCAGGCAGGGCGTCAGGCTGAAGAAGGTCCGGACCCGGCCGGAGCAGCCGCGACACCCCAAGAGCTTCACCCACTCGGCCGACGCTCTGACCCGCAGCATCCACGAGGCCCTGAGAAGAATCAAAGAGGCCTCGCCGGAGTCAGAGTCCGAGGACGAAGGCCTCCCGTGCACTGACTGGGAAAACTAGTTATGCTTACTGGAGGAATATTTTTTAATGTTTTATGGATACGTGGAGCCAAAAGAAAACAGTGGCTCGAATCAAGCAGACGAGCTGGAGACACCTTTGAACAAAAAAACTAGATTTTTTTAAAATCAGAAACTACTCAGAAGTATTTTTTGTCATTCTTCTGTATGTTGTTTGTAAAGATGGACCACTAATCTTTTTTTTTTTTTAATGTTCTTGTTGTTGTTGCTGTGGCATTCTTGGCGAGGATACAACCTCTAACCTCTCATTATGTCGGTCTACATGTCAGAGTCGTACTGTAGCTTGCTGTGATGGGTTTGTTTTAGGAAGTGAGTATTTTTGTCACAGACTCAGCTCTTCACTGAACACACGTGCTGCACACTCATACATTCAGCTGTGTGACAACCATTTGTACTGTAGGATTTTCTCACTTCCTTACAGGAGAAGTTTGACATTGTGGGAAATCCAGCTGCTGGCTGTAGCTTTGTATTAAGCAAACACAAATTAGAGTGGGAACGATCTTCTCGTCTCATCGCATCTCGGCAAAACAGTAAATACTGTAGTGCATTTCCCAAAATGTCAAAATATTACTTTAAAGGATAATTTCAGTATTTTTAAACTCGAAAAAATGACGAGTAGGTACAGAACACGTCCACAAAAAGTCTCGCTCAAGGACAATTCTCACTCTGAAATATGGTGAGAGGCGGGCTGTTGCAGGAAGACGACCGTGGAAACGAGAGTCAGAGTTGGAGAGAGGAGTTTATAGAGGAGGAGTAACGTTAGGAAAATAAAAGTGTTACTATCAGCTCCTCTATGTACACATCAAACGCCTCTCCCTCGTTTCCACCGGCGGCATCCTGCAGCAACTCTCTTCCCACGAGATTTCAGAGTGAGACTTCAGTTTCCTGTTAAAAAAGACCACCGGGAGTCACTCGTGGGGATCCTGTCTCCGATGTTGTTAGACACCTGGTGTAACAGTCTGAGCCTGTTGGTGGCAAAAAGAAGCACCTTTTTTGGACGTATTTTTGAGAAGCGCAATTTCCCTGAAGAAAAGCGTTTCAGCTGCTGCAGCCACAAACCGGTTGCAACTACAGCACAGATTCCAAATTTTTTGTAACTACAAGTCACTTCAACACCAAAATGTGTGAAAATATGGTTTTCCCAGGTTTAAAAGCACCAAAATTATCCTTTTAATTAGTAAAACTGGGTCATTTTCATCATCCTGGTGGGAAGAATGCCAAAAACTGCCGTTGATTTGTGGATTCAGCAAATCACCAATGCCTGTTTTTTTTTCTTTTTGTAGCGTTTTCACTTTTTCATATAAGTCATAAATATACACGAATAGAAATATATAGGGTGAAATATGATGCAACAAGAGGAAGGGATTATGGAGGAAGGATATCAAACTCACATTCAATCTCTATCAGAGACTGAGGTTTTCAAACTGCGAGGTGAAAGAGACAGGTGCATGCTGGGACTTAAAGTCAGTTTAGCGCCCGATTGCTGGGAATAAACAACCATAAATGTGCTTAGAAATCTTAGGAGAATATAAATACGCTTGTAACTGCAGAACTTGCCTAAGAAACATCACGTTTATAAGTTTTCTTCAGCATCAAAGTAGTCTTGTGATAGTTGTCTGAACATCTACGGGTACAATGCAAACGGGAAAAGCTAACCGCTAATTTGGCATAATTATAATGGTGCCAAAATGAATTTTTAAACAAATATATGCTAAAAATCCACAGCTCACTATCTCCGTGACATTATACTTCATGTGTACATCTCCCCAAGGCATTATGGGAAAGTGTAATTCCAGCAGGAGAGACCAAATCTATTAATACAAACAGACCTGCAGTATGTAAGAGAGCGAGAGAGATTTCTGTTAGTATATGATTCAAATAAACTGTTTACCTGCAGTCCCACACAGGATCAGACGGAGGCCCAGCTGGGTTATTAGCTGTTTATTCGCTGAGATGGCGTCCCTGTGAGCTTTTAAAGGTTTAAACGGATGCTGCCGCTAACAGAAGTGGTGTTTAGTGTTTTGAAACGACACTGGAAATATTAGCACACAAAACAGCTGCAGTTTTTCAGATCTTTATTCATAACAAACCATCTGCTGACTTGTGCATCCTCTACTTCTCTTCTAAGGATGTCATTTTTAAACCGGGTCAGTATTTTGAAAAAGAAAAACAAATACTGTATATACACATATAAATGATTACTTGAATCAAGCTTCTGTCATTATTTTTTTGTGATCGGCTGATTGTGCTGTCACTCTGAGAAGGAAAGAAAGATGGACGATTAATGAGTTTCATCATGACACATTACCATTAAATTACTCTTTAACAGGCGACAATATTTAAAACCAGCAGGCAATGTGACGACAGAGGGTGAAAATCTATTTTATTGAGCTTAAAATACTATAATTAGAGCTGGAAACTATTTTAATAATCGATTAAATCATAAAACAAAAAATTTTAAAGCAAAAACTCTCTGGTTTTAGCTGCTCCAATGTGACGAGTTGCTGCTTTTCTCTGTTTTAAGTCACTGTAAACTGAATATCTTTGGGTTTTGGACAAAACAAGATGTTTGAAGTTTGGGCGTTTTACAGACCAACTGAACGTATTAATTGAGAAAATAACCTGCAGATTAACTGCTAATACAAATGGTTAATTTCGAGTAAAATACTGAGTAAATGTTTAAGATGACTCCCCCTCCTATTTAAAATGCTTTAAACACGCTGTATAACAAATATTTAGATACATGATGCAGCATTTTGAAGCCTGTTTGATTCGTTCAGCTGGTAACTGACAGACCCAACAACATTTGGAATATGTGATGTTTATATTTATCTTATTTTATTCCCCGAGAGACTCTTTCCGCTGCCTTTTTTTTTTTTTTCCCCCAAAGATTTGTTTTCCGAGCTTATTTACTTACTGGAGTTGTTGTTGTTTGAGTTTGGTGTGTGTGTGATTTTAAACTGTTCTCTTATTATGTGTTAACTGTGTCAAACCTGTCTTTAACTGTAAAAATACGTTCCTGTATTTAACGAGTCCAAAGTACCATGAGTTTTACAAGGACATTAATATGAAGCTTCAGCCAGCCCACGCTTAGCTTAGCTTAGCATAAAGACTGGAAACGGGGGGAAACAGCTAGCCTGACCTACCAGCACCTCTAAAGCTCACTGATTAACACACGTCATTGCAGGACTATTAGCAGGTTGAAGCCTCTTTTCCCTTCATACACAGGGTAAAGTTTGGGGTTATGGCAGAAATATCTGTGTAGCAATTGTTCAGCTGTCTGGGCTGCAGCTTTACCGTTTTGGTTAGTAGAACTATTTTAATAATTGATTAATCAGCTGGCAGACACAGTTGGCGTCTAGCTGGTAAACATTCGCCCCGTGAGAAGGTCCCACGTACATTTACCAACAACCAGTTTTTCGTCACCTCTTGTGGCTGTTTGAGGGAAAACACCCGGTACAACAGCTTTTTTTTGCTGCCCTCGGCCTCAGGGGGGCAGTAATGAGCCCGTCACAGTTTGTTGCACCGAACGAAAACTTACTGATTAAACAAACGACATATAACTTGGTAATAAGTGAGCTTTAAAGGAGCCGGTAGGCGGATTTATTTACCTTTGGACAGATTCTGGCTAAAAATCCTAGTCTTTATGCTAAGCTAACCAGCAGCTAGCTGTAGCTTCATATTTGAGAGTGGCATCAATGTCAAATGTCACTCTTCCTGAATCGTGGAGTTTACAGCTGCCATTCAGACAGACATGTGTAAGAGCAAAGCAGATATTTGCTCAGTGACAAACTCCCTCTTGCTCTCTGTCCCGTCTTGTATTTGGGCTCATGATACCATAGTGCTTTCTTTTTCCTTTTTTAGTTAAAATGTGTAGAATCCAAACTTTGTGGATTTTCTTTCCCGCCCTGAACGTGACACGAGTTTGACCTTTTAACCTTTACGACCTTATGCATGTGACCGGTTTCAGGACGAACCCATCACAACGTAAGTGCAATAATTGAGATGAAAAAGTCATTTTATGAATTAATACTGTAATGAAATGTAAATCATGAAAAATATATATCTGCATGCCTAAATGTATTGAAGTATTTATTGAAACTTCATATTTTAAATGATTTTACATACAAATGTAAATGTACTTTATAAGGTTTTCTTTTTTGTTGCTTATTTTGTTTCCTATCATGACATTCCTCTCTGCTTTCTATAAAATAAAATAAAGCACCAACATGTCTTTTAATGCTCCTTGGTGTATTGAAGATGTCCTTCATGTAAATCATCTCAATTTCAAGGTACTTATACTTGAGTAACGTTATTTCCATTTTATGATACTTTATGCTTCTAAAAAAATATGTTCTTTTTACTCCAACATTTGTTTGACGGCTTCAGTTACTTTGCAGATTCAGATTTTACATTAAACATAAGTCTTTTTCACATTTCAGATGTTAGCAGTTCCACCAAAGACAAATTCCCACTCTAAACTTTTCAGATAGTTTCATTTGAAATTATTGGTTTTTAGTCCTAAGAAGGCAAATTTTCCAACTATGATGTTCAGATTTGGGAACCGCTGGACTAAACTAGCTATCTGTATATAAACCAATCAGCCATAACATTATGACGTTACTTAACGTTAAGGCTGAGAGAGGCCGCTGCCATCAGGGATCGTTTCCATGAAAGAGTGTACGTGTCAAAGTCACATCCACATGAACGGCAGGACCCGAGGTTTCCCAGCAGAACACTGTCCAAGGCATTACACGGCCTCTGCCGGATCGCCTTCTTCTACTGGTCCGTACTTCAGTTCTGATGCCCATTGTAGGTGCTTTCTGCAGAGGACAGGGATCGGCAGGAGCACCCTGACTGGTCTGCACTGTGATTCTGGCACCTTCCTATCAGAACCAGCATCAACTTTTTCAGCAGTTTGACCTTCAGTAGCTCACCTGTTGGTGAATATCTGAACACTTCCTTCCACCACTGTTTACAGTACATAGGAAACACTTCACTGTATTTATACGCAGTATATAATGTTTGTAACAAACAGTAAATGCAGTTGAAAGCAGAAATAAGAACATTTTTAAAGCATTTAATGGTGTATTTGTACTATAACTGCTGCTGAGGGCAAGAGGAGGCAGTAAAACTTGTAATAATATTGTCTATATAGGAGATTTTTATTTGTTGACCGATAAGTAGATTAATAAACACTTTAAAATGTCTGTATATGTGCTTAAAACTATTTTAAAGTGTTTGATAGTGATGAAACCAGACTGAAAGAATGACACAACTGCTTAATTTTCATTTTGGTTTTGTTTTACTATAAACAAATCAAAATTCCAATTTTTTGTTTTTAAGCATGTGGTATAATCAACATTTAAAAGTCTTTTTCAAATGTTTTTCCCCCTTTCAAGGTGTAATATTCATAATTTTCCAACATGACAAAGTCATTCAGATCTCCCAAATGTACCCGAACCAACAACAAGCCCTTAAATAGTGTTCCTCAGGTGTAAGTACCGCACTCCTCTAAACGTCGCTGAATTTTTGGCAATTGTAAATCTTCCCAAAAAGAAAAAGTACCGCTTGTTAGTTACCATTGATGCATCTCTGTACCAAAGGCAAATCAGCAAAAATTCAAATCTGTACATCAAAAACATCATTTGGCAAAAAAAAAAAAAAAGATTCTCTGCAAATCCAACGTGCGATTTTCATCTCCTTTTGATAAATAGTTCAAAAATATTGCCATTTTTCCCCCCTAAAAAACAAAAACTACCTTGACACCCCACATACTAGACAAAAAAAATCATATTAAGTGAAAACAAGATAGTAAATAAAGATCTTTGTACAACTTCCATCATAATCCTCATCTTCAGTAACAGTTGCTTCAGTAATAAATTAACAAAAAGGATTCAATCATTGCACTTCAAGTCGCAACAGAAACAAGAGGGAAGAGAAAACATCTGATTCACTCGAACACACAAACTCCATTTTTACAAGTGCACTATGAATTTGTTGGAGTGGTATTCTTTAAAAAAAGTGTAAAGAAAGAAAGTGATTAAAATCCTGCCTCGCTTGTGGTCTAAACGTATCAGAGAGTAACATTACCTGAAAGTGAGAGTGGAAAGTGTTTATTTACCCTCTGATGCTCCCTTTTTGTATTGCTCATATATATTGTAGAAGAATATAAGACGTAGTCCTCGCCGGCCGTTTGTTTTGGCGGTCCCTTGTTGGATTACAGTCACAGGGGGGACATTTGTAGTTTTCTCTTCTTGACATTCGACCCCGCAGAGTTCAAATAACAAAAAAAAGAGTAGTGTAGGAAAAGTCAAACCGAGTCCTTCCTGTCTGACTCTCAAGTGTCCATTTGGCTGACGATGACGTGAGGAAGAGAGAGAAAAACAAAAAAGAAGACTCGCCGGCTCCTGGTGACGGCGCAGGCCGTCTTTAATTAATTAACAAAGTCTTTATGGACAAAAAAAAAAAAACCTGAACCAAAAACAAAAACAAAAATGACACTCAACGTCCCGTCAAACGGCATGACATTCAAGAGACAAAGAACAAAAACAGATTCATGTTCTGAGTTTTAAAAGTGTTGTCAGACCGTCAAGAGTGGAGCAGAGGGAAGGCATGGTCCAAGCAAAGCCTCTCTCAAGGGTAACCTCTGTATTTTTCAACCTGGACCCTATTTTTCAATGTTTTTATCTCTTTGTGACTAATTAGGAAACATTTTTGAAATTGGTTCAGTATTGAGCGAGCACGCTGCATTGGGCAGCAGCAAAACAGAGCCGCACCATAATCCTTGCGGACTTTTTGCCACTGACAGGCTAAGATTGTCATTATAGGTGTCTGACAACATTATGGAAAGGATCTCTACAGAGATAGACATTAAGATGTGACATCCTTTTTGTTTAACCAGAAACACGGTCGCTATACTGTCTCATCAAAGCCACCAGACTCCCTTGAGAAAACTAAACTAACCGACCAAGGCAGCGGTAAACAAGCAACTCCCTTGTTCTGACAGGTAAAATTTCTGTTTTCCTCAATGGAGCCTGGTGGCTTTGACGAGAACGAAATAGCAAATGTATCTGGTTAAACAAAAAAGGTTTGTACTCTTTGAAAAACGGTCTTTCTCTGCATGGATCCTTTCCACCATGTTGTCAGACACCTATAATGACAATCTGAGCCCGTCAATGGTAAAAACATGCACTTTAGTGAACCGACTGCAGTGCGCTCGCTCAATACCGGACCAATTTTAAAAAAAATTGTCCCATTTAGTCACACAGACAGAAAAACATGAAAGTAGGATCCAGGTTGAAACATACCTGAGGTACCCTTTAACTTGGCTTGATTGTAAACATGTCCCGTAGAAAAAATGTGTGTGTACCGTTAATGCATAAAGTTGTGTGTAAACATACTCTTTCACAAGTATCGTATACATGTGGAGAGAAAAAAAGAAGAAGAAGAGAATTCAAGTTGCTTAACGTGTCGGTGAGTGCCAACATGCAGGTGGTTTCTTCTCTGAGCGCTGGCTGCTGGTGGCGTCGGCCTCTCTAGCTGCACTCGATGAGTTTGGCCAGCGTGTCCCGAAGTTCGTTCAGCTCGAAGAGCTTGCCGTCCAGCAGCTCGAGCAGGGAGCGCAGGCTCTTGTGAAAGGCCTCCCTCTCCTGCTGGTTGCTCTCCAGACGCTGCTCCAGATCGCTCAGCTGGGCCTCCAACGTCTCGTTCCTCGACTCCGTGTCCTGAAACAATTTGGTTCATCAAACTAGCTTTAAACCTGTGCTTCTCAAACTCTTAAACCATCTTACAATGAAGTAAAAAGGTCAAAGGCAGGTGGTTTAAAAGGATTTAGCAGTTTAAAAGGTTATTTTAAAAAAAAAAAAGGATCAAATTTGATGCAGCAGAATCAAAGATGTCGTCATCTTTTTTAATTCCACACATTCTTCTTCCGTGTCAAAAACAGGCACCTGCAGTTTGTGGGCAGCCACCAGACTCCACTGATAAGAACAGAAATTTTATCTTTCAGAACAAGGAAGTTGCTGGTCTAGCGCTGCATCGGTCAGTTTGTTTGTGTGATTGTGTAACTTTGATGTTTAAAAGGGTTAAAAAGTCACACAATAACATAAACTAACCGCTGGAGGAAGCCGTAGACTAGAGTCTGGTGGCTTTAACGAGCGATGTGGCGACTGTTTCTGGTTAAACATAAAGGATCTTACATCTTAATGTCTATCTCTGTAGGGATCCATTCCAAAATTTAAAGTAAAGTAAAAGGATCTGGTAGAACACGAGCTGAAAGCAGCATTAGCAACACCTCATCAGCTGCAGGTGTGACTGTAAGCACAGAACTCACCCGTAGCTTCAGAGCGAGGGAGTCTTTTTGAGACTGGAACTCGTTGGCACTCTCCACCTCTGCTTTCAGTCTCTCCAACTCCTGGAAGTAAATCACAGAAAGAGCGAATATGAAGATCAGATGTTGTAACATATGTGTGACACCGCACAAACATGTCTTAACGTACCTCCTCCTTGGCCCTCAGCGCCGACTCCAGCTCTTCTATCGTTTGGTTGAGTTCTGTCTTTTGGGATTTGATCACCGTTGTTTGGCCGCTCACACACTCCAGCTCCGTCACCTGGATTACAAACACCACATACATCAAAACCTCATCCCGACGTGGTAAAAACAACCGTTCAACAGAATCATTCTGTTTGTGAGCTGCTACCCGTTTGTGTAGCCTCTCAGCTTCCTCCTGATAAGCGCCCAGCTGTTGTTTCCACTGTTTGACGTTGGCCGTGGACTCGAGCAGCGCCGCCGTTAGCTTGGCGTTGTTCCCCTTAAGAGCCTCCAGCTCCGCCTCCCAGTGCTTATTGATGCTGGTGGAACTGGGATGTGAAGAAGAGACAGTGGTTGATTCAGATCCTTTACATAAAGGGAGACACTACAGGTAAATAGGGGGAACACTTTTTAACAAATGGACCTCCCCCCGAAACTTCCCCAGTTGATTATTATCAAATATTATATTAAATAATATTATATATTCAAATGAGGCATTTTCTAATTAACAATGCACTCATTTGCTTACTTTTCAGCACAACAGCCATAAAAAAGTAATATGTTCGCCATGTTTTTAGGAATAAAATGTTCTATAAATCAGACTATGAATGATATATGAACAAAGCCCTGTGCAAAATCCCTTAGAATATAGAAAGGAATAAAATTGGAAGGTCCGGTGTGTGTAAGTGGTACTGAAGTAAAGATTTCTGGCTCAGAACATGAGAAAATTGTACCTATGTATGTTAACGTTAATGTTAATTTCACTACAGGTGAATAAGGTGAAAAGTATAACTGACAGATATCAACATGAAACTTCCCCAGATGATTATTTACATTAAGACAATTATCTTTTGTATTACAGCTTTTCTGAAATGGTATGTTTAAATGTGCAAATGAGGCCTTAACTAAAAATTGACAAAGTGTAGTAAAATAAACACCTACATGTGTATTTTGGGTGTTTTCTTTCCACTAGTCTGAAAGAAAACCTTGAATCTCAAATTTGACCAGAAAGATGTTTTTGCCTGTAATGTCTTGCCTTAAAAATACTATGGTCTAAAGATACTCAAAGTGCTATACTCAAAATGTACTTTCAGTATCAAAAGTAAAGTACAGAATTATGCAGAATGGCTCTTTTCACAGAGTTATATTACTACAGAATATTATATTATTCTGTTTTTATCACTAATGAATACATGCAAGAGTATTTTAATGTTGTAGTACGTCAATATGGAGTAAACTGTACACATTGTCCACACTACTGTGTAGATTAAAGTGTAGTGCTGCATCACATCATATGAGCAAATCAGTAAAAGTACTAGTATTTGCTTTTGTTAAGTCCAGAATATGTACCTTTAAAGTATGGAGGGGATTTCTTTATGTATAATGAAGCTTTACTGGTAAAAAGAAAAAAAAATGACATTTTATCACATTATCTAAACATATTTTATTTTTATTTTTTAATGTTTATTTTTATCCCTTCTTTGTTAATGTATTAGTCTGTGAACTATCACTATGAACTGCTAAAAGTTCCATTATAAATAAAGTAATACATAAAAAGCTGCCAACACTTTAAGTGCATTTAAAGTTTTTAGTTTGCACCACGATGATTCATCATCCAAAAGATTTCATGAAATACCAGTTCGCACTGACCAACAAGTGAACTAGCAAAACCATCATCATGTCATCGTGTGAGGCTTTGTAAGTAACACAAGCTCCCCCTCTCAGATGTCTTCTACCCATAATTCATCAGTGGTGGAAGAAGTTTTCACATCATTAACTCAAGTCATAGTAGCACCATGTAAAAATATGTTGTAATTAGTTGAGCTGGAGCAAAAGAACAGTAATTTCCTCTGAAATGTAGTCAAGTCAAAGTACTAAATACAACAATAGTGAAGTGCCCAGAAAAATCAAAGATAGAAAATGTACAATAATATAAAACGCTTGATAAATGACTTAAACAAGTAATAGATTATCAAAATAGTACCTTGTTTTGGTGTGACATTTATGATCATGGAGCATTGTAAAAAAAGTTACATTTATTAATACTTCTAACTGTTAAGTAATTAATAAGTCCTGAAGTGAGAGTGTGATCTGAATATGTGGTGCACAAAAATAATTCAGTGGTTAATAATTAATAATAGGAAGCATGCGTAGTGTTTTAATGTAATGCTTTACATTGCAGAGGCCCGGGGGATCAGATTAATAATGAATGAACCAACAGGAGCTGCGGCGCTCTGTGCCAATTACATTTTAAATAAGCACACCAGAGAGTCGCTAACGGACTCATTACTCTCGTTTAGGCAGCAGAATGTGATCACTTCATGATCAGGACGAGTTAACAATTAAAACCTTATTTAACAACGTTTGAAAAACACAACTGTAACAACAGGAAGACGATGTTTTAAGCTGATGATACACGGAGCAACTTTTAGAGCAATCGTGCAGTGCAACGTTGCCGTCAGTGGTAATGAGTAAAGATTACTACCGTATTCCCCTTCCCCCACCACTCCACCACCCGCCCCGCACCGCCGCTATCCGCTCAAAACATAGTCGGACTTACCACCAGCAACGTTGCTCAAAAAGTTGCCCTGTGCATCATCAGCTTTACACCTTTCTGCTCTGTGTTTTGTGATTTTTGAGAATGTCGTCACTTTGACCTCAGGTTCACCTGGCTCTGGTTTACCTGTGTGAGAAGGCAAGTGCATTCTGGGAAGGCTCTGCTCTGGCTTCGATGTGCTGGGGTGCGTCTGGTGTGACTGTCTCGTCGTCTGTACCGTTAATGCTCTCTGAGGTCAAAGGTGACTGCAGATCACCCGGGGCTGACTCCTGCTCCGACACGTCGGCGAAACAAAAATAAATCATTATTATTAGAAAACAAAAAATGCAGAGAGTTTTTGTTAAACATTCCCAGAGTTAGAAGAGAATATCGATGCTGCTCTCACGGCTGTACGCTGAATATGAATATACTATATACCGTAGGTGCTGGTAGGCTAGCTCTTCCCCCTGTTTCCAGTCTTTATGCTAAGCTAAGCTAACCGGCTGCTGGTTGTAGCTTCATATTTAATGTACAGATATGAGAATGACACTGATCTTCTCATCTAACTCCAAGCAAGCATATTTCCGAAAACACAAAATTCAGATTCTGAAAAAAACAAACAACTGTGATAAAGTGTTGACGATTTCAATGCTCTGAAAAAGTAAACGTAGTTCAGGATGCTCTGTTATAAATTATGAGCTTTTTCATCATGACTCTGAACTAAACACTGGAAACAAAATTTACTTCAAATGACAGGATGTTTCCTCTGTGTCAATATATTTATTTATTATTTTCAAAGAGCTGCAGGCTGAACTTCACAGTGCATCATTTAAGAAATACTTTTGACACGCTTTACTTTTGTGATTTCAGAACTGACTCTGAAGACGCTGTGTCCCCTTTTTCATTTACCTACGTTTAATTGTTGTCATTTGTGACTGGCAGCTGCTCAAACAGCCCTAACGCTAGCTGCCCGTCACTTTTTGAGAGCATGAAAGGAGAACTGGAGGGAGGTTTATGTGGGAGATTCACAGAGACGGGGTTCCTCTGGTTGTTAGTCTGACATTAGGATGATAGACAAGACTGATGACAGGGCTCTCCTGAAAAAAAGAAAGGCTTGCGTATCACACCAAAACAATGACAACGATGTCTGGGCTTCATTGATATGCAAAAATCTGTCAGATACATCACTGAGCTCACGCTGGTTTTTTGCACAAATGGTGAGGGGAGAGGAGTTGGTATCGTTAACTGAGGGTAAGACTGGGGAAAAGGGCCATCAGAGTCATGAAAATGAGTTTTTCTACTTCTTTTTACCTTCTTTTTAACAGGTTTGTTGACTGACAACACATTCCTTTTTACAGCGCCACCCTGAGGAAGAATCATTCGAGAGAGCAGAGGAGGTAAATCAAGCCACAAGGAGTTAGCTTAGTGGCTAATAATGTGAGCATAATGCTGAAAGAAACATAAAACAAGTTACTACATCAACAAGACTTGTGTTACAGGAGGTGGCGTACATGATTACATCAGTTTCTCATCAATTTCTAATGAGTACTGATTCGTACAGGTTGGCTTTAGTGTCACACAGGGATTTTTAACATAACGCTGAATTAACACTGATTCTGCACTCCACTGTTAAACATCTGAGGAGATCAAGATGAAGAGTTTTTGCGTCTGAAACAGCACAAATCACAGAAGGTTAATGAGTGGATAATCTCAAAAAGAAAACCTCCCTGTGAGCCCACAGTGCAAAATTAGCTATTAGCATCTAGGCATTTCTGGAAAATATAATTTTGTCGTGTTAGCTAGCCGCAGCCGTCAGATGTCCATCAAAATGAAAAGGGTTTGGAAATGCGAGGACGGGTTCCACATACAAATTTTATTTGCTTCCAGTAATTTGCTTCATTTCTAAATACTAAAAAATGTTGATATATAAGCTATCATGACATTGTGGCTATAAGTCCCCCCCCCCCCCCCGCTCCAGAAACTCAAATGTATGGTTAGGTCACTTCTTCAAAGAGAGATCCTAGTGTACAAAGTATGCTAGGATGCTGATAGTGTCCGTACCTGAGAGGGAGTGCTGGTGAGCTCCATCTTCTCCTGAGACTTCTCCTTGGCTAACCGTGCCGCCTCTTTGAACTCTGCAAACTTATCTGCAAACTACAAACACAACAGGAGCAGCTAAATACTACAGCATGGATGGAAACTACTACAACGACTTTTTTTAAACTCGTTTTTGAGAGAGCATACGCACACACACGTATATCAAAGTGAGTCCGAGTCTTGAGTGCTCACCTTGGCCAGATTGCTCTCAGACGAGAAGCCGAGGCCGTAGACGGTGTTCGCCCGGCTGTCGGCCCACTGGCCAAACTTCTGCGATGTCTTTGTGAACGTCATGTTGGGGGTGATGGTGCTGTTGATAATGGCCTGTGGAAGAGAAAACACACATGAGGTCACATGACAACATCTAAAAAGTGAAAAAAAAATATATAGTGTTTGTTAAAGCCTGTTTATTTATAAACAAAAGAAAAACATTTTTCCTCACTTTTGGAATTTGGAAAGAAACACAACCAGACATTTTTTTTCCTCCAGCACCAGCCCACCCAATCTCTGCTATTTCCAGCAGAACGCAGCAAAACTTTCTGGTTCAACAGCAGCAGTCACCCTGAGAGGCTCTTACATAACTATGCTAACTCCACCCCTGCACCTCTCTCATGACTAAAATAATCACTGCCACATAGATATGACAGGCCCAACCACTCCTTCACTGCTTCAGCACACACAGGCCGAGGCAAACGAGGCATACAAGCCGAGAGCAGGGGTCGGACATATTGACGAACATCTAAACTTTATTCATACCCACAGGAGAGGTGCAAGGATTATTTTGGGGGTGATTATCAGTGTGTTCGTATCTGACTTTAGAAGAGCTGACCACAGAAACAAATTGGACAGAGACCTCTTTGTTGCTCCAAATAACACATACATAAATACACAAACAGTACTGAATGATATAAACTGTACACACACCTTTGATCCATCCAGACTGATGATTCGATATACATTCCTGGTATTGTCGTAGAAGTAGGAGACGGTGACAGCATGTTTACTGGTGGGAACCCAATTCTTCTTGGTGCTTGGGTCGATCTGGAAGACGTGGGCCCGTGTACTGAAGATGGGCTGCTCTCTGTGCACAGAAAGGAAGAAACAGAATATGAAATAATCAGTATCTGGTTAAAAAGCCTCATTTCGGAGGTTAAACTCTAATATCTGGTGTGTAACTGAACACAAGAGGAAAATCAGGCTCTTGTCTGTACCAAACTTCATGACAATCCAGCCAATTATCATCTCTCTAATAAAGGAAGGAAAGTGTGTGTGTGTGTGTGTGTGTGTGTGTGTGTGTGTGTGTGTGTGTGTGTGTGTGTCTTTGTACTTCAATTAAACCATTCATCCAATCAACAATGAAGCATGTGCTGGAGCGTGTGCGTCCCAGCAATTGATCCACATCCTACGGACGGTTATTTTCATTTCCCCAGAATTTCCAGGCACAGGAAACTCCCGCATTTCTCATTCAGGGTAATACAATCTCATGTTTCCTGACTGCTATTTCAGAGGTGTGTTAAGCACAACACAGACTCTTCTGAATGTCTTTCAGAACTTTTCAAAGTAAAAGCTCTCAATTCAACTCGAAGTAAAGCATTGTGGCAAAATACTTGACGTAATAACGTGAATAACTGCACCAGCCGCTATCAAAGTATTTATTTATTGACTTGGCCAGCGGGCCGCCTCTTGCCAACCACTGCTGTAGGTGAAACCAATGTGAGACACACATTGTGAACAAAAAACGCAGGGAGGTGTTACATAAGCCTCTGTGTAAATCTCATGGTGGCGCTAAAGGAAAAGTCAGGGGATCACCAAAGTCATTAGAGTTCATCCTCTGGGGATCATGCCATCTCTAAAGCCACGACACTATCATGGCTAAAAACATTCAGGTGTACTGAATTTGAATTTAAGGTCAAAGTACTTTAAAGGTAAAGATCAACAGAGTGCAAACCTATCAGTTATAACTCGTCTCTCTGTCATACAAAATATGCTTATCTCTTGGCACTAAGCACAAAGTACAGCTGGGGATGATGGGGTGTTTTGCAGTTATTTGCTCATAAATCTAAGTAAGAAAAATTCAATATTTGACCAGAGGACAGCGTTAAACTAGAATTCATCCTGAAGGGGACATGAATATCTGTACAAAAACATGGCATTTCTAGAGCTACGCTGCTAGCATGGCTAAAAGACACAAAAGAAAACGTGTGAATAATGCTCCACATCAGATATCTAACATTATCCTGCCAAGGGAAGGAAGTAGAAGTACTGAGGAACGTGATGAATCAGAGGCAGGTGGGAGAAACAGCTTCCTAGATCCCAGCACATCCATAATTTACTGCTGTGTTGCTGCACTACTCAGTGACTGGAAGAGGGCAAAGAAAAAGACAAAAAAAAAACCCACAAGGCACTTCACACCGAAAACAAGTGTGTTTATGTACAAATATACACACCCAAGTGTTACACACATATGATGTAAACTGGCAAATAAGGGCAGATAGTAAACATTTTTAATTATCTTTGTATCTCTCTTTTTCTCTCTGTATTCTCTTCTTTGTAACTACAAAATGATTTGGTCCATTTCAACCTCTACATGCTGCCACTTGGAGACGGCATCAACTTCCATAGTTATGCTGATGACACACAGCTCAACAGTCTCCCCATAACAACTCTTTTAATTATGTAAATATTGTACATATCAACACTTCTTTATATTCTCTTTGCATTTTATATTTTTACTCTGATATTTATATACTTTTTTATATACCAACTTTCTATTATTATTTATATTGCTTTTTCCTTGCTGTGCAATTTATGTAACTGTGACACAGAATTTCCCCTTGGGATCAATAGTATTATTTCAATAGTAATAATATATTAATAGTAAGTATTTCTGAAAACTTGGAAATCACCTTTGATTCAGACCTCAGTTTTTATCCGCACAATATAAATATAACTAAGAGTGCTTTTTATCAAGAACAGAGCCAGAGTGTGACCATTTCTCTCTCAAGACAATGCAAAGACACTTATTACCTCCAGGATTGATTGCTGTAATGCTCTGCTTTCTGTCTCCCAAAAAAGAATACATTAAAACTAGGACCAGAAAGAAAGAGCACACATTACACCAATTTTAAAGTCTCTGCATTGGCTCATTGTATCATTTTATTTGTTTATAAGTCTCTTAATGGTCTTAATGGCCCACGTCTGTGGAACAGCCTTCCTGAGGACCTGAGGGCAGCAGGGAACACTGATATTTTTAAAAGCAAACTACAAACCTAAAGACCTTTTTTAACCAGGTTTTTAGTTTAATTGTATTTATTTTACTGACATTGTTTTATTCTTTTTTATTTTCATGTTTCCTAATTTTTGGTTGAGTTTTCTTTTCATTTTATCATTATTTACCATAATCTTTATTTACTTTTTTTACTCTGCCTCTAGGTGTTTCCTCACTGCATTTGAGTTTTATACAACAATGGCCACTGGTAGTGGCCATTCATGAAAATGTTTACTCACCTTGTGTTTTTATTGTCTTTTACTTCAATTCTGTTTGTGTGTGTGTGTGTGTGGTGGCATTATTGTCATTGTTTTTATTTCCATATAGTGTGAAGCACTTTGTTTTACATGCCTTTTGTATGGAAAGTGCTATACAAATAAAGACTGACTGATAAAACATTGAAATAAAAGAATGCAAAATTCAATAACTCAAATAATGACTGTCTGCAATCTTTCAAAACACAAATAAACCATAATGCCATGATCACTTCATTACTTCGAGTTAATGAACCTTTGCAGTCAGCAGGCAATGAAGGCGGAGTCATTAAAAATGATTTATGTTCGAAATAAAGCCTCATGGAAGCTCGACAAAAATAATGTCATACAATGACATTTACACTGAAACAAGTTTATTGATGAGTAAGATTTCACTTACATTTGCCTTGGTATTATTACCAAGGGATGAATGATGATGTATGCGTAGAGCTGAAAGTGATATTATGATAGTGATGTTACAAATTACAGAAGACATGTTTAAGTTTATGTTTGACATGGGAAAATATAAAACATCAGTACCAGTATAATCTGTGTATGGTTCATTCTTTGATTATTTAGTTTCAAAACCAAAATGGAAAAACAGGTAAATAGAAAACAAAAAAAATCATCTGTTTTTGTTTTTCTGTTTTAAAACCAAAATGGAAAAACAAAGCAGCTGCGTTTTGTTTCATCTATGGCCGGTTTTGTATCCCACTGGTTTTCAAATTAACTAGCTGCTGTACAAGTGTGCCCGCTGTTTTCAACAGCTGTGGTCTCGCTTCATCCAGCCAGAGGGAACGATCACCGACCCTCCACAGCTCACCAGGTCGCTCCCGCGACCTCCTCTCCCTCGCCCTGTACGGTCCAGCGCCCGCTCCCTCTCCGGTAGACCTACTATGGGTTGTGTTGCCAGTGGAACCGGCGCACTGGATGTGGTCTTTCCCTCTGGCTGGAAGAAGTCCGATGCCCCTGATTTTACACATAGCCTGATCCATGTGTTACTGCAGCTGAAGGCTCTCCGCAACACCGCGCAACTTTCAAAAATGTTCCATCTCACAAAGAAAATACAAGTCAGGTTGAAACAGTCTAGAGAGGCTGAACGAAAATTACCTGAACATTTTAATCCGTGTATGATTCGTTAATATACAGCATGCTGATTTAACCAATAACAGTTCATGTTTGCTGTCAGTACATTGGATGTACTGACATCTATCACTGAGTTAATTTGATACTGAAGAAATCTTAAAAACCAGAGAATTCTCAGGCAACTTCTGAGGCGTTCCTGTTGCTGTCCCAGTTGCTTGTGAGTTACAAACTGAACGGTGAGCCTCCTGTTTTTCCTCCTCTAAGGCAGTGGCTGGACATTAAGAGGTATGATATGAAAAGACTCATGTTCTAAAGATTCAAAAATCAGAGTTTAATTTAAAAAAGTGCTTTAACTCCCTCCTTCACAAATGCACTTTGTATCAAGACTGAGATATTTCAAGTTGTATCAGTGCAATCCCTCACTGTCGATAATTTCCGTGTTTCCTCTGTAATAGCAAAACTAGAAATGGGTCTGGGATTTGTGGATTTCTTTCTCTCTTTCTTCCGCCCTTTAAGACCACAAAACATTGCTGATTTTAAAAGTTTCAGTCCAAGAAGCCTATGTGTTATTGCTAAATCTGTATACCTTTTGTTCTGAAGTATAGGCAACTATCTGTAACTAAAAATATGTTGCGGCTAAGTTGAGGTGACTAACCTGCCTAACTCTCAGTGACTCACAAATCCAATGGCCGCATTTTGTAGTTTTAATTTTAAGAAAGCCAACAATCGTTGTGAATACAACGCATCCAAAAACGTTTAAAAGGTGTACAAAAAGCAACAGCGAAAGGCAGCAGTCAGCAAAAGATAAGCCATCTCCTCTCTTTTCATTCACAAGTCTAATTGGTAAAGAGGTGAAAATGTTCTCCTGATATTGTCTTTCCATAGTGTATCGCCATTTTATTCTCTTTAACCCACTTATGTAAGTATCACACAGTTTAACTGCAAAACCTTTGGAGCTGTCAAAATCAAAGAAGCTATTCCTAAAGCACCAGTGACGTTTGAAGCTTCAGACGTCATTGTTTACGCAGTATTCTTCATTTGACACGAGGCACAATTTACTGAAACAGGGCACTTCACAAGACTGAGACATGCTTCAGAGTGTCGGTAACATAGACCAATCACTAAACAAAATTAAACATATGCAGCATCTAACACATACCAGGGAGTAACACTGAAGTTAATGGGGAAAGCAGAATAGCAGTAAATAAAACAAAAAAAATACTAGATAAGACAAGCAGCATATAACCAGCATGGACGAGAGGAAGGAGACGGAGAGAGCGACTTTCTCCCTCTTTCTGCCGTGTGTGGGCGGTTAAGATAAAAATCAAGCTGGTATTATGCATTTTTTAAAAGCAGCAAAAGAAAGGGAACATTAATTTGCTTCTACTTTTAAAAACCCAGAGTCTGGGTTAAGCAATGCAGCAGAGCCCCCACACAGACATGGACAGCCATCTTATGAGCACAGCGACTGAC